AGAACTACAATTGCTGGGGTGGTTGAGCATTGCCTCATCAGAGAGAACACTGGGAATTGTAGCACTGGGAGCAGAATAGGAGGGTGTCCGAATAACGCTCTGCACTCTTAGGAAACTACAGCTCCCAGAATTATCTGGGGGAAGCCATAACTGTTTAAAGTGGTATTGTTGTGTTTCAAATTTATGTGACGGTGGCCTGCCTCTGCCTCGCTTGTTCCCATCCTAAGCTTCATAGTCTAGAATAAACCTAGAATATAGGCTTATAGTCCCGAACTGGGGGGGGGGGAGGGGAATAAATCATTACATCATTTACAATGCAGTCCTATGCATATCTACTCAAAAGTACCGTATTTTTCGCCCTATAGGGCGCACTGGCCCATAGGGCGCACCTAGGTTTTTTGGGGGAGGGGAATAAAGGGGGAAAAAATTATTCCCCCCCCCCCGGCGCAGGGCTGGAGCGGGGGAAGCCCGAGCTCCCCCTGACCCCAGCCCCCAAAACAGACTGCTATCCGCAAGCCTGGGGAGCCTGGCGGGAGTTCCCGCCGGGCTCCCCAGGCTTGCGGATATCTGCCTGAAGCCCAGGGCGCACTACTCAGCGCGCCCCAGGCTTCGGGATGCAGGCTGCTATCCGTAAGCCTAGGAAGCACGGTGAGAACTCCCGCCGGGCTCCCAGGGCTTGCGGAGAGCTTCCTGAAGCCTGGAGAGCGAGAGGGGTCGGTGCGCACCGACCCCTCTCGCTCTCCAGGCTTCAGCGAAAGCCTGCATTCGCCCCATAGGACGCACACACATTTCCCCTTCATTTTTGGAGGGGAAAAAGTGCGTCCTATAGGGCGAAAAATACGGTAAGTCCTGTAGGATAAAATGGGGCTTACTCTTAGATATGTGGGTGGAGGCTTACAGTCTTAAAATTTTTATTATTGACATGCTGGGCATTCTGGGATTGAGATAAATAAGAGATGATTTGCTGGAGCTTGGAGATTGTCATGGAAGCACCACAGGGAGGCAATTATCAGGCAGCCAGACAAGGACATTAGTTGTTTTCTTTATCTTCCCTATACAAGAGCAGGAAACTCCGGACGATTGCCAGATGTAACTCCGGTCGAGTGCCACCTAGTGACGAAACAATATAATGACATGATCCACACAGGAAGCTCCGCCTGGATACAGTTAAGTCTAGTCCCCTCTAGTGACAGAACGATGCAATTACACAATCCATACAGGGAAATTTGCTTGCTTACAAAAGTCTCTACCTCTTTCAGGGGGATCTGGGAGATGCCCCTTCTTCCCCACCAAGAAATCTGCTTTGAGATTCAGAGGAGAAAAGCGTAAGTAAATAAATACAATAAATGGATACACTAGTGCTGACCATTTTAAAATGAATAAATGTAGGATGTGTCAATGAAACACCCACTGCCACAAGCTAAAAGTGTGTGTGTGTGGGGGGGGTTGTTTGTTTTTTTGTTGCCTTGAATCCACCTTAGCTTTTTTTTTTTTAAGAAAAAGGAAAAAAAGTTGATTTAATGCCTCAAGAAAATGCCTGCAATTGCATCTCCGGTTTGGTCAAGAAAACAGCTGCAATCAATCACCCCGTAATTGATCCAGTTTGGCAGAAATCGCTCACCAATCCTTCCTGGAAGACAATCCGATGAGCCGCTGGCCGTCAAGCCATCGCTGCCCTTTAGCTCTGGGGAATTGTTGCTGTGCAAATCCCGAGCTGTGAGTCTCTCTCTCTCTCTCTCTCTGTCTCTCTCCTGCTTTGGAAAGGACCTATTGCACAAAGCAACACCTCAGGGCTTCAGTCCTTGATGTGGTGCAAAGTGCAGAATTCAACTTCTAGATAATCTTAGCGTTCCGTTCTGTTTTATTTTGAAAGCAAGTTGCTAGCCCTCATGCCTGTAGCGGACGTGTTTGTAAGGGGGGTGGGGAGGCCTATTGCAATCTCAGAAGCCTGGAAGGAGGCTGGACATATTAATTATGTCTGTATCACATTCTTTTTTCCTCCACGGAACTCAAAGAGTTCTCCCTCTCCCTCTTTTACCTGTACAACAACCTTGCGAGGTAGGTTAGGCAGAGAGACAGTGATTGGTCCAAGGTGAATTTTATGGCTCAGTGGGGACTAGAACCCCAGTCAGTTAGGTCTTAGTCCAGTACTCAAAACACTACGCTACACATTTGATCCTCACAACAGCAACCCTGTGAGGTAGGTTAGGCTGAGAGAGTGTGACTGGTCCAAAGGCATCCAGGGGTCTCCATGGGCGAGTGGGGATTTGAACCCTGGTCTCCCAGGTCTTAGTCCAACTCCCTAAACTAGGCATGTCCAAAGTCGGGTCTGGGGGCCAAATTTGGCCCTCTGGTTGATTTAATCTGGCCCCCGTGGCAGTTTATTCACTGGGGGGGGGGGGAAATCCCCCAAAAAGCTCAGCAACTCTGGACGGTCCTCACGGATGTTCACTTCATCATATCTGGTCCTCTTTGCAAAAAGTTTGGACACCCCTGCCCTAAACACTACTTCACACTATATCTGGTGGAAGAAAACCTTAAAGGCAGACCCTAAACACCTCAATAATAATAATAGGTAAAGGTAAAGGGACCCCTGACCATTAGGTCCAGTCATGGACGACTCTGGGGTTGCGGCGCTCATCTCGCTTTACTAGCCGAGGGAGCTGGTGTACAGCTTCTGGGTCATGTGGCCAGCATGACTAAGGCGCTTCTGGCGAACCGGAGCAGCACACGCAAACACTGTTTGCCTTCCCGCTGGAGTGGTACCTATTTATCTACTTGCACTTTGACGTGCTTTCGAACTGCTAGGTTGGCAGGAGCAGGGACCGAACAACGGGAGCTCACCCTGTTGTGGGGATTCGAACCGCCGACCTTCTGATCGGCAAGTCCTAGGCTCTGTGGTTTAGCCCACAGCACCACCCGTGTTCTGTAATAATAATAATAATAATAATAATAATAATAATATATTTTATTTATACCCCGCCCTCCCCGGCCAGAGCCAGCCTCAGGGCGGCTAACACCAATAAAATCACAGTAAAAACATAATAGGGGGAAAAGAGGGGGGGAGGAAAAGGGGGGGAACCAATTTAAAATACAAGTTAAAATGCAATTTAAAATCAATCAGGACTGAGCATGCTCAGTGGTCACAGAATGGTGAATGACCCTTATGTGGGCAGATGGAGGGAATGGAAAACCCAAAAGGGGAAAGGAAATGGGGTAGTTTAGAAGGGGGCCTGGATGGCTGGAGCACTGTACTTTTTTTGTTCCAGGTTCCATTTGCTGTGGGGGTGGTGACGGATATAGTAATCTAGGGTTCAATTTCTGCTGGCCTCTGTGACAAAACGATCCGCTCTGAATATCTTTCTTAACCCTCCATTTTAAGCTGTTTTGTTCTCTTCCCTTTTTATCTCAGAATTGGCAACGAACAAGATTAAACAGCTTCGTTTAAACAGGTACAAGTGAGGTCAAATAGTTCTACGCGCTCTCTGGAAGAGACGGCAATGCTGTTTTGGTGCCTAGGGCAGAAAACCCCGGGGGCTAAAAATATAACAAAACTCAACAAACTAATATTTGGCTTCTCTTTTATAATATACTCGCAGCCTTGCCCCTGGCGTTGCTTTGAAGAAACCGAAGATCAGTGCGCTTTTTAAAGATTCGGTCCACTGTCTTGATGCAAAATGGCATCCGATTGGATCCTAACACAGAGGAAAACCTGCTCCTGGATCTCAGGAACCGTAATTCGAACACAATAGTATCACCTGTTGCAGTTTCCAGCAGGTGGCGTTCAGAATCATGACTGCCTCTGAGAGGATAGCCACTGAGACATAGCTGTCAACCGTCCCTTATTTGGCGGGAAACTCCCTTATCCCAGTGCCGTGTCCCGCTGCTGTCCCTTATTGATGATGTCCCTTAAATTTCCCGGGTTTCAAAGGAAGCAGCTCCTCTCCCTCCCTGCCTGCCGGCCAGGGAGGAGGGAGGCTCCAAGTGTGTTGCTTGGCTGCGTTGCTCACCCAATAAGGAGTCTAAGAACGGCTGGGGGGTGGAGCTTGCATGCCCTGTGCCGATCAAATCGGCTCCGTTGCCTGGGGAATCGCCTTTGCTCAGCGCTTCCCAGCGGAGAGGTGACGGTGGTTTTCCCTGCTGCATCCCCTTTGCCGGGTTGCTGCGCTGTGGGAACCACCGCTTGAGGCTTCATTTGGCTGCTGGCTGGGCTTTCTGCCTTTGGCTCGGAGGGGCTCAGAAGTTGAACATACCTGTGTTCGGAAAATCCCTTATTTTGGCTGCTGATCCCTTATTTTTGAGGCTGCTGGTCCCTTATTTTCAAATCTAAGTTGACAGCTATGCACTGAAAGCCTTCTCCTCCATTAATTTGTCCAGACCTCTTTTAAAGCAATCTAAATTCTTTTCTCTTTTCTCTTCAGAATCTTGGGTTTTATTTTGCTGTTGTTGCCGCCGCCGCTGCTTTTGCAAAGGCTCGACGGCCTTTTTCGCCTATTTCGCATCTTTTGCCTCGCCCCAACTAGTGGCGTTCCAGGGTACTGCGGAGAGAAAAATGGCAGCCAGCACCCAAAAGTATTTAAATAATAATGGTGGGGAATAGAATCGTAAAGTTGGAAGGGACTGCTAGGGTGAACTACCCCCTGCAACACAGGAATCTTTTGCCTCAGGTAGGGCTTTGAAATAGACTCGGAGTTGAGTGTGGATTTCATGCTCTTTATTCAGCTCATAGTAGTGAGGAATGCAAATTCCCCCAAAGTGTCTGCTTTATAAACATTATTTACACAATGGGCCCCACGTGATTGGCTAATTCCAGGATTCTCCTGTAGGCCAATCAGGTTGCGGATTCACTTCCACCCAGAGTTGGATTGGGTGGCTCCTGTGGACCAATCAGACTGCTGCCTTCTGGATCCTATTGTTCTAGGACCAATCAGACTGCTGCATTCTGAATCCTATTGTTCTAGGACCAATCAGACTGATGTATTATGGATCCTATTCAACTCAGTACATAACAGGCTTGAACCCATGGCCCTGAGATAAAGAGCCTCATGCTCTACTGACTGAGCTATCCCACCTGCCCAGAAAGAATCCTGCAAAATAGCCTCCTTTCTCTAAGGGTTATGATGACGACGGAGTGGCAGAAAAATCTCAAGAAATCCCCTTGGAAAAATGCATTTTGGGAAACATCTGCACAACTTAGGGTTGCCATATTTCAAGGAGTAAAAATCCAGACACGAAAACTGTGATTTCACCCTTGGAATCCCAGAAAAACCAGAGATATGGCAACCCTAGACCATTCCACCAAGGTTAACCAAGAATCCAGGAAAGACCATGGAACTCAAGCAAAGGGCCGGATGGAACAGGAAGCTCTCTTTTGCTACTTCCTGTCCAGGAGGACCCGATGGCCAGCCTGCGTGGGTCAGCCCAGGGCCTGAAGGTACGTCACTGCAAAGGCTGAAGTCGGTCGTTCTTTGGCTCACCACACGAGGCAGCCGGCGCACAGATCCTTGCAGCTCCTGACAATTAGGCACTGCTAGGAACATCTCATCCATGCGCAGGGAGCGCCCCTCCAACTGATTAGTCGCTGCCATTGGCGTCTCATTGTTTCCTAGGACAGTTTTTATTTTCGCTTGTGTCAGCGTTTGCATCGCGAGCGGCTCCTTAGCAACGTCTAAAAGTACAATGACAAAATTAAGAGGACCTGCCCAATTAAAGCCCGTCAGCTGATGACACAGCAACACACCCAGAGACGGAGAGAGAGAGAGAGAGGCTTTGTATTTCCAGACGGAAACGGCCTTAGCCAGGCATCTGCATTTGTGGAATTTACTCGCATTAACTTCCTCTCCTGCAGGTCAATAGCTCATATTGTCAGCTCTGTGAAATTGTTCAAACATATATAATATGCTCTCAAAACATTGCTTAATTAAATTCTGGAGAACATTGACACACAAACAAAAAAAAAAAGGGAGAGGAGAGATATTAATATCAAGGATTCCAGCATCTAACGGCAGTTTACATAGATCAGAGGGTGACGGGGTTTTCTCTTTTGCTTCAAAGAGGTTATGAGCACGACAGGTTTGTTAATCTACAAGTTAAGGATGTGATTTAAACGACATGACATGAAGGAGCAGTAAGGAGATTGGGCGTGAAAAGGAAGGGATATTGTACAGGAGGTTAGGGAAATGTGTGCGAGAGAGAGAGATTTGCAGAACATAAAAAAATAACATTTATCAATGGAAACGGAAACAAGATAAGCATTGCAATGAACACCACTAGTGCTATGGCGATCCTGAGTTTACTGGCACCAATGGAGTCTTGTGGCCCATTTGAAACCAGTAGGATGGAAATCAGGAGGCCAACAGTAGGTGGCGTCAGAGCGGAAGATAGGCAGAACCAACCTTGCCATCCTCCCTGCGGAATTCTGCAAGGGGCAACAATGAGACTAAGGCGGAGGAAGTTGACAGGCAGTACCATGGGACACGAGTGGCGCTGTGGGTAAAACCTCAGCGCCTAGGACTTGCCGATCGCATGGTCGGCAGTTTGAATCCTCACGGCGGGGTGCGCTCCCGTCGTTTGGTCCCAGCGCCTGCCAACCTAGCAGTTCGAAAGCACCCCCGGGTGCAAGTAGATAAATAGGGACCGCTTACCAGCGGGAAGGTAAACAGCGTTCCGTGTGCTGCGCTGGCTCGCCAGATGCAGCTTGTCACGCTGGCCACGTGACCCGGAAGTGTCTGCGGACAGCGCTGGCTCCCGGCCTATAGAGTGAGATGAGCGCACAACCCTAGAGTCTGGCAAGACTGGCCCATACGGGCAGGGGTACCTTTACCTTACCATGCCCTCAGCTACACTAGTCAAAATACAGCGTTATAAATGTGTTATAACACTCTGACACCAGATGGTGGTGTAGAGCTGAAATAGCAACTCAATTATATTTTCAATTGTGAGCTTTACAACAGGGTTTTTTTTCAAAGCGTTTTTATTATAGCTGTGTAGATCTAGCCCTGGTTGTAAGAAGATAGGGAGGTGATGACTGGCTATGGGCAGGCTGAGCTTGATACAGCAGTGCCCTGCTTGCCCCAGTGGGACTCAGTAGCTACAACTATTGCCCTTTTTTGCTGCTCGCTTTCCACTTGAGGAAAGAGACATCACCTTGCCAACAAAGGTCCGTATAGTCAAAGCTATGGTTTTCCCAGTAGTGATGTGTGGAAGTGAGAGCTGGACCATAAAGAAGGCTGGTGGCCGAAGAATGGATGCTTTTGAATTATGGTCTGGAGGAGACTCTTGAGAGTCCCATGGACTGCAAAAAGATCAAACCGATCCATTCTGAAGGAAATCAGCCCTGAGTGCTCACTGGAAGGACAGATCCTGAAGCTGAGGCTCCAGTACTTTGGCCACCTCATGAGATGAGAAGACTCCCTGGAAAAGACCCTGATGTTGGGAAAGATGAAGGGCACAAGGAGAAGGGGACGACAGAGGACGAGATGGTTGGACAGTGTTCTCGAAGCTACCAGCATGAGTTTGACCACCTGTGGGAGGCAGTGGAAGACAGGAGTGCCTGGCATGCACTGGTCCATGGGGTCACAAAGAGGCGGACACGACTAAACAACAACAACTTCCACTTGAGGGGCCAAATCTGGCAAAGACTGAGCTGGAATGTATGTCAGATTTCCGCTTCTACATAGCTCCATCCTTATTTCAGACATCGTGATATATCGGTATATTGCGATACACGGCTGGTGATAACTCGCAATGTTGCAAACCAGGTGTTGTCTGGCTCCACGTTGTCACCCACCCAAGCCAGCTTGTGTACCCTTTCTGGCAAGGAGGAAAAAACCAGCCAGCCTGCAGCAAAACACAGCGCTGGGGCAGGGTGTAGCGTGGGCAGGGGCACAGGGGGCGGTTGCCCTTGGCACAAAATTCTTAGGGGTGCAACATTTCAAAAAAGAGAAAGTACTGTATTGTTCGTTGCATAAGACACACTTTTTTCCTCTTAAAATCTAAGGGGAAATGTCTGTGCGTCTTATGGAGCGAATGTGTGGTCCCTGGGGCTGGGGGGGGGGGACCTGGGCTTCCCCCGCCAGCCCCGACCTGCTGTTTGGGGCTGGCAGTGAGGGACAGCCGGGCTGGGGAAAGCCCCCCCGACAAGCTCCTGAGCAGCTCTGGGGTAGCCCACGAAGCCTCTGCAGGGCAGTGGGGAGCCTTCATCCCGCTGCCCTGGGGAGGCTTCGCGGGGAGGCGGGGGAAGGGACAGAGCGAGGCTCTCTCACTTCCCCCACCTCCCGCAAAAGCCCCCAAGAGCCGCATATTTTTTTTCTTGAATTCCCCTCCCAAAAAAGTAGGTGCGCCTTATGGTCAGGTGCACCTTATGGAGCGAAAAATATGGTAATAATAAATTGAAAAATAGTGTGCCTGCCCCCTCACACATAAAATCTCCCAATGTCCACATGGGCGGACTGTGGAGGGGATTTGGGTGACGGCTGGTTGCCAGGGATACCTGCTCCTGACCAATCCCTCATCCTGCTCTCTACTGTGCTTGATGCTCAAGGGGCATCCCAGCTGCCACCCGGGTAGGCCCCCAACCTATTGTCCCTTCGTTCCAGCCTATCGGCGGGCAGTGCCAAGGATACTTGCCTTGTCCCGGGTACTGGCAGTCCATGCTATGCCACTGCTCTGGGGCATGATGCCCTCTTGGTGGTCTTGCTCAGATCTAACTGGACAAGATATGTGGAGGTACAATCCTATGAGAAAGATGAGGCAAAGCAAACCCAGTAGCACCAGATCGTGTCGTTCTATAGTTTAGTCACTAGCTGGCACTGGACTTGGGTATTGCTTGAAAGAGTCAGGAGTTGGCTGTGTGGGTAGTGTCATTCTGTAGTTTAGTCACTAGGTGGCACTGGACTTATTCCTGGGAAGTCTGGAGTTTCCTGTGTCTGTTCTGATCTCGGAGAGCGGCAATGATGCTCTTCCTGACTGCTGCATCTCCTAAACATTTCACGGCAGTATTTGATTTTGCACTTAGGTTTTATGGAAGAGTCTTCACTGACACAGCATTGAAGGGGCAGCCATGTCAATAACAGCAAGTGGCTCCCAGAATCATAGCTGTCAACTTTTCCCTTTTCTCGTGAGGAATCCTATTCGGAATAAGGGAATTTCCCTTAAAAAAGGGGAAAAGTTGACAGCTATGCCAGAATAGCAAGTGGGCAACTAGGTTTTTCCAAGGCCTTAAAGCAGTTGTTAATCATGCCTTGCTGTTATTTGGGGAGTTGTTATTTTTCAATGGAAGACCAAATATTCCCTTGTTTCAATTTTAAAAAGCTGGGGTTTTTTCTGGAACAGGAAAACAAATATTTTCTGGAAAAGACATAGACAAGACCCCTTCCTCCATGAATCGATCTGATCCCCTTGTAAAGCCATCTGAGTTGCTGGCCATCACAGTTTGTGATTAGTATCACCTATATAACCACCAAAGGGGAACAATTCCTTGTATCCAGCTGATTACAAGCTCCACCCCAACTATTCATATCTATCTGTCTAGCTAAACACACACATGCCTACCCTATAGAATCCATACCCTATAGTACTCTATAGTATCCCGTATGCTTTCTTTACTAATAGTGCTATGTAAGTGTGAATCCTATGTGAGTGTGAAACAGAACCATTTAGGTACAATAGGGGATCTAAAACATTTAGAACATGGGTAGGCAAACTAAGGCCCGGGGGCTGGATCCGGCCCAATCACCTTCTGAATCTGGCCCGCTGATGGTCCGGGAATCAGCGTGTTTTTACATGAGTAGAATGTGTCCTTTTATTTAAAATGCATCTCTGGGTTATTTGTGGGGCATAGGAATTCGTTCATCCCCCCAAAAAATATAGTCCAGCCCTCCACAAGGTCTGCGGGACAGTGGACCGGCCCCCTGCTGAAAAAGTTTGCTGACTCCTGATTTAGAGGAAGAAATCCTAAGCAGTATGAGCTCCCCAAATAGCCCAATGAGATCTTCGTCTGTTCAGTTTTATTATTTTTAGCTATTGAATTCATATCCCACATGTTTCTCCAAGGAACTCAGGGTAGAA